GATGAGTTGGGGCCGCGGCAGTCTGTCGGGAAAATTAATATCGGAGATTTCGTTCCGATGCTTTCGTGGATTAATCGGGTTAACGGGTTTGATTCGAGAGTCGATAAGGTTGCGAGGGAAATGGATGAGTTCTTCGAGGGAGTGATTTGCGAGCGCATCGAAAATCCGAAGAAATTACTGCATGGTGATCGTGAGGAAAAACATGGAGAGAATTTTCTTGATATTTTGCTCGAAATTTACCGGGACAACGGTACCGGTGTATCTATCGACAGGGACAGCGTCAAAGCAATTATTCTTGTAAGTATATTTTTCTTGGAAACATATGTTCTTTTTTGGACAAAATGCATTTCGCCCGCTAGATATTTTCCATTTTTGCACATTTCCTCATGAAAATTTAAAAAATAGACAAGTCCCCTTTGAAATATTTTGTTTGTTGCACTTTGCCCCAAATGTGGGTCTTCTTAAACGGTATATATTCATCCTTTTGGGGTATATACGTAATTTTCCATCGCCCATCTGAAATCCCCAAATTTATTTTAGTGTTTTAACTCACGAAATGCAAAATTGGTGTTCTTTCATCTGGGTTTATGAATTTCGAGCTTCGTCTGTCAATTTTATGGTTTACCTCCAAAAATTGAGCTAAGATTTTTGGGTTGGGAAATTACAGTTTTCATCCCTCAAGTTTGCACCGATTTTACATCTGGCCCCCTCATGTTTACAAAAAGCACATTTGGTCCCTCATGTTCTAATAATTTAACATTTTTTGTCATTTCCGTCTATTTACCATTAGTCCGTTAGTTAAGACAGTGATGGTAACACGCTTGATTCCGTTAGTTTTAACGGGAAATTGACGGAAATGACTAAAAATGTTGAATTTTTAAAACATAAGGAACTAACTGTGTTTTTTATAAACATGGAGGACCAAATGTGAAATCGGTACAAACTTGAGGGACAAAAACCGTATTTTTCCCATTTTTGGGTCAACGAATTTTGAGCCAAGGTTTATGTGCCTCACTCTGGGATAACAGTAATATCTTGCTAATTGAAGATTATGATCTCAATTATATATGAGAGCACAAAATTTAGGAGAAACATCCCTAATGTTTGCTTTAGAAATTGTGTTTGTGCTTGGTGGACCGTTAGATACAAGAAGTATAATAGGGATTTTGGGAAAAGTGCAACGAAAATAATATTTCGAAGGGGCGTTGTCTCTTTTAGAATTTTTATAGGGGAGAAGTGCGAAAATGAAAATTTTATAGGGGGCGAAGTTCATTTTGTCCTTCTCTTTTTTGCTCGTTATTTCAAAGGCTTTCTTTTTCTTGTTCTTTTCAAAAGCATATCTTTGTTTATGCTAAAGCGAAATTTCGTGTTATAAAAACAGAGTAGTTTGTGTGTATAACCATTAATGAGTTACAACAGGACACCTATTTATAATACATACATATATATACATACATTTCTACTTCATCTATGTATATTCACAACATTCTTTCTTGTTCTATATATATATATATATTCTACAGGATGTATTTGCAGCTGGAACCGACACTACATCAACGGTTCTAGAATGGGCAATGACGCAACTCTTACGACACCCTCAAATCATGCAAAAATTACAACACGAAGTACGACAAGTGGTTAAAGACAAAAACGACACAATAACCGAGAACGACCTGGAAAAGATGCCTTATCTAAAAGCTGTAATAAAAGAAACTCTCCGCCTCCACACACCGATCCCACTGCTAGTACCTCGGGTAGCACGAAAAGACGTAAAAGTTATGGGGTACGATATTTCAGCCGGAACAATGGTGATTGTTAATGGTTGGGCAATTGGCCGGGACCCTGCCAGCTGGAATGAGCCGGAGAAGTTTGATCCCGACAGGTTTTTGGATTCCAGGGTGGATTATCAGGGCCTGGATTTTGAGCTTATCCCGTTTGGAGCCGGAAGAAGGGGCTGCCCTGGAATTTCGTACGCTATTGTTACTGACGAGTTCTTGTTGGCGAATCTTGTCAGGGAATTCGACTGGAAATTGCCTGATGATGTGGAAGATTTAGACATGGGCGAACTTCCCGGGCTCGCGATTCATAGAGCTGTTCCTCTTCTTGCACTTGCCAGTCAGTATGTTTATTAAGTTCATGCAACTTATATATTATATATTGGGAAAATTACAGTTTTCGTCTCTCAAATTTCCACCGATTTCACATTTGGTCCCCTATGTTCACAAAATACACACTTGGTCCCTCATGTTTCAATAATATAACGCTTTTGGTCATTTCCGCCAATTTACGATGGGCATACGATGGATTCCATTAGTTTTAATGGGAATTTGACGGAATTGACTAAAAGTGTTGAATTTTTGATACATGAGGCACCAAGTGTTGTTTTTGTGAACATGATGGACTAAATATGAAATTGATGCTAACGTGAGGGACGAAAACTGTATTTTTCCCGTTATATATTATATATGATAGAAATGTGAAGAACTTTGTGCATTGAAATATAAATTTAAAAAGTATGTAGGAGTTGTGAAATATTGTTGAGCAGATGTATCTTTGTTCTAAAATGGGACGAACAAAATCCTATATATTATTGTGCTACACTTGATGTTTGCAACTAAGTGTTTTATTTCAACTCCACTCTTTATATGTGTTGAGAATCGAAGTTCAAACCACAATTGAGCGCAATTCATGCATGAAACAAAGCAAATAGAACATCCAAATTATGCGCGCATGAATTCCAGCGTGAGAATTGGATCTGGAAATCGAATAATTCAACTATAATTCAGTAACACAATCAATTGAAGGGTAAACAAGATCTTTATGTAATCAATATGAACAAGAGTTTTACAAAGTAGAATCAACGAAGAGATCAAAACAACTCACATTTTCTACAATCAAAATTTCTACATTTTAATCCTTCTCTCTCTGATTTCTCTCTCTTTCTGTATTTTGAATACAATACGTTTCTCTCTCTTGACCCTAACTGAAAGTAGCTACTCCTTTAATACACCTCAGAGAAGTTAGCTTCATCTTTAAGTCTTCAGCACGCATGTCTTGATCTCTCTCAGCCAATCCACGAGCTCCACCTCAGCAAAGTAGTTAGTTTGTTTCCTCTTGTGATTAATCCTCTAGTGCACGTACAATTCGTTGCGTGTATGACACTCATCAGATTCCTTTAACATCATTATATATATATATATATATATATATATATATATATATATATATATATATATATATATATATATATATATATAATTTGTCATTGAACTAAGTTAAAATGGCGAAAATAACTTCACTTAACAAGACTTACAAACTTCCATTTTTTTTCTGAAGTGATCTCAAAGTACACCTATGTCTCAAACACATCACTCATTTAGAACCCTAGTCGTAAAAAAAAAAAAGAATCGTCTTACAAGGTAGAAACCATTTAATCTGACTTTGATACTATATCGAATGACCTGGCTTGGCTTGTGGTAATTAATACGCCACATGCTTGTTTTGCAAGCACAGCCAAATCTACCAGCCCACCCCAATCCCTCTATTAAAATTTAGGACAGCCAGATTTGTAATGTACAGTTAACCCTAGAAAGGTAATCTTAGACTCTAATCAACAATACATGAAAATTAAAACCTAGGCATTTACTACTGGATGACATAGAACTAAGGTAGGGAGGATTTATATTAGGGTAAAATTCATTTTGCAAAAATGTACTATGCGAAACGTATCATTTACCCCCTAAAGTATAGAAAACATCAAACACCCCCTGTCGTTAGTATTTTTCTAATATCCGTTAGTCAAATCCTTTGAACGGCTATTGCAAAGAAATATTGGATTTTTTGACGAAAATATCCCAAAAAAAAATTATAAATAAGTTGCTTAGTTTTGAAAAATATCAACCAGATTTTTTACTTTTTTCACTTTATTCAGTCATTTTTGTTTTAACTATTTTCAGCCATTTTCTTATAGAAAAAACTGAAAAGTCGAACAAATAAGAATGAAGCTTTGCAGATTATGAATGTAAAATTCGCAAAAAATAAAACTAAAAGTCGTGAAATTTAAAAGAAACCCTAAAATTGGAATAAAACCATATGAAATTAAAATCAAAGCTTTTCATATTATAATGGGAAAATCCCCCGAAAAAGAAACTAAAAATCCTTAAAATCAAATACTAAAATCGACAAAAAACCATAATTTGAACGAACGCTAAAAATCTTCAACAATCCACAAAAAATATTCCTCAAAAAATTAGGGATTATATCAGACATAAAGCAGGTAAAGAGTCAGTGCACACTCAAATTTAACACCATTAAAAGTTTGACCATTGACCGTTAAGTTAAAAATAAGGGGTATTTGATGTTTTCTACATATTAGGGATACCTTTCACATGTATAGGGGTGCAAAATGAATTTTACCCTTTATACTATTATACAGCGAGTAGATCTTTACTATTTATAAGCACGCAAACACACACATAGGTGTGTAGATTCAAATGCAGTTTTCACTTGCATATAGGGCGGACCCATGTGGAGTCTGAGCTTCCGCCCCTGCAGATTTTTTTTAACCTATTTTATATTATTTATTTTATCTTGATTTGGTATTTATCTATTAATTTATAGACTTCTCCCAACCAGATTTGAATTTTGTAGACTTTTAGCCCTTAATTTTTTTTTCATTCTCTTAATTGACACCCTAATTTTAGCCCATCAAAAAGCCCCTAGGTTCGCCAAGCAAGCTAGTACACAAATCCAGATAGCCAAAATACAAGTAAAATAAACTTAGCCAAAAAACTTGCCAAACTTTCATTTTGAAAAAAAAAAAATGGATGAGTGGCAATTATGTACACCACTTGCATC